CCAAAGGAAGGTTTCTTCAACCTAGGCCTCAAATTATTCAGTGATCAGTGCATAAACATAACCATAATGAAATTAATTCAGTGGATGAGGAAAAGTATAGTGTTTTTGATTACATAGTTTAAAGAACAATGCCTCAATGGACAAATTTAACAGAAGACTGGATGAAGCTGAAGAGAAAATTAACAAAGTGGAAGGCAGTAAGAAAAAATTACCAGAGTATAGCATGGGGAGACAAATAGAAAACACAGAAGAGGAGGGTCTAAATAAGTTAAAGCTCCTTCTAAGAAGGAGATGAGTGAAGGAAATAAGCAAAATGAAATTTAAAGGTAGTAGCTGAAATGTTCCGTAACAGGTGAGATACCAAATCACAGATTTAAGATGACCTGTGATTACAAGTAGAATTTTTTGAAAATCCAGACTTAGGTACATCAAGAGGAACTACCAAGAAAACCAAAGGCAAAGAGAAAATCATAAAAGCAGCTAGAGAAAATGACAGATTCACTTCAAAGGAGCAACAGACTGACCATTGACATCTCATCAAATATAACTCTGATTATATTACTGTCAAAATTTTCAATAACTTTTCATTTCTATAACATAAAATACATACCCTTCAGCATATCACATAAAGCCTTTTGTGGTCTGATTCCTGCAACTTGTTTAGATACATAGAAACTTCCTCCTTCTCAGTTTATTCTTGATTGTGTGCCTTTGCACATGTTCTCTTCCTCTCTGGAATGCTCCCTATGCCCATCCATCTAACTAGCTCCTGCTCAGTCTTGCCAGTTTCACTCAGGTTTGCTGTCAAGCTGCCTGGCTCCCTTCTCACTGCCTTTGGGCACACTGCTTACCAGTAGTTACCAGCACCATGTACTTTCACTGTTTGAATCTTTGTCTCATTTCTAGCATATTAGCTCTCAGAGGACAGAGACAGGGCCATTTGCAGTGCCTGATATTCCACAGATGTTCAAGACCTTCACTGGGTTAACTTCAGCATTTCACTTGGTTCCAGCTACTTAAATATCTTGATGTAGGTTTTCATGGCTCTTCCCATGATGTTCTGATTCTTGCTTGTATGGAGAACTGGTCACCACAGTCAGCACCAGGATCCCTGCACGTCAGTGACTGGCCCTGCCTCTTCATCACTCCCGTGTCCTTGATGAAACTAAAATGAAGTTGTGGTGTGGAGCAAATGAGGTAATGTGTGTGAACATGCTGTGAAAACTGGCACCACTCAGTTCATTAGCTTTATTTCAGAGTGAGAGACTTGGTTGGGCTGCAATTTGTGAAGGAGGGAACTCATCGCTGCCCCTGAGCTTTGGCTTGGCAAGATCTGGATGTGAGTCCTGGGACGACTATCAATGTCATCCCTGGCAAACTTGCAGCATAGCAAATGATTATAACATGAATGTTTCCTTGCCCCTGGGAGGACTTGTCCTGCTGCTTCTAGGTTTCCATGGGGAGAGGGGCCCATAAAATAAGTTTCCCTGGTTGTTTGGTTTTGAGAGATCTGAAGGGAAATATTTTCATATTTCATACATATCACAGTTTTCACTGAGTTCTTGTTGGAAATAGTAAATTCCTGTGGCCCTTTGTCAAGAGATGACAAAAGATTGGGTCTGCCAGTTTGTCACTTGTTTAAATGGATACATTGAAACTCCTTTTGCCCAGTTCCTTGCCTTTTTCTTCACATTGCCCCACTTGGCATTATAGTTAAGTCATCTGAAAACCTTTTGATGTGTTTGTAAAACATTAACTATCATCAGACTTGTCAGTTTGTTGTTTATGTATGAGAAGACCAAATCAGGACCATTTTTCTTACCAAAACCAGGTGTTGGGTTTGCACTTGATAGATGTCAAGTGGCAATGCCAACCCCACCAAGCCATGGCATTTTTATTTTTTAAATGTTTAAAATAGAAGCTTCAGATTATCTATAGAAAGAGATTAGACTTTTTCTTCCTAGAGTATTTCTTGGGGGCTATTGTTAGTGTACTATATCTATTTCTTAGAAAAATCTCTCTTTTAGATGAAGAATTTTGGTAGTCACTAGTTTCTAGAATTTTTTTAACTAGAAGGGACCACAAAATGCATGGGCCACCTCTGCCTTCACTATGACAAAACTGAAGGCCATGGGGATGCAAAACCTTTACCCTTGTGAGCACTACCAGCCTGTCCTATTCTAGTAATTTCTTCATGGAGAAATTACTCCTCTAGTCTTTCCTGTACCAGGGAAATGTCTCTTGTACCGGGTTGATGTCTCTATCAACCTAGCTGCCGATGTCAGAAAGCTGGAAATAGTCACTTCGCTTCTCATAGTTAATGATATCTGGTGACCATCAAAATCTATTGGTTCCACTCCAAAATATGTCTTAGGTGGTTCTTTTTAATTCCATCTGCAGTACCTGCATTGTAGTACTGTCCTCGCCTGTCTGGACTGCTGTGGTAGCTCTTAACTGGCCTTCCTAGTTCCACTCTTAGCTTGCTTGAACTGCACCTTGGGCAGTGTCATCTTGTGCAAAATCCTTAGCCAGTTTCCCACCGTATTTAGGTTTCGATTCAGGATGCTTAAATCCTAGAAGACCCCAGCTGACTTGACTCTTGCTACCTCTCATTCTCATCCCTTGCCATGCTCATTCTTGGGCTTGCTCCATTCTGGCTCCACGGTCTTCTTTCTGTTCCTTGTTTGTGCCAGAACTTTCCACTCTGTCTGCCTCTTCCCAAGTGCCATTTCCCACCTGGGGTTTTCTGTCCCCTTCTTCACTCCTGTACGCACCATCCTCAGGTCTCAGCTTAAATGTCACTTCCACACAGGGCCTTTCCCTGACCCCTTTGTCTAAATTGCATATTGGGAGGATTCTTCCTCCTTGGAACTATTCTTTCCTTCTTAGCCTTCATCACAGTTTATAACTTTATGTTTATCGAGTGGTTATTTATTCGAATATCACTCATACATTAAATGTTCTGTAAAGGCTGGAACCATATTTCTTTTATTCACCACTGAATCCTTAATGCCCCTTGCTCAATAAATACACATGGAATAAATGAATAAATGAAGAATCTTGTGATTAAACAATGCAGTAGGTTCTCTCATTAAACTGACAACTTTGCTATTTAGCGTAGCAAGACGTAGTTGTTGGAAACCTATTAAGGTGATTCACCTTTCTTCTAACCTGGCATTGCGTTTCTTCACATTCATTGAACGTATCTGTGATGCTCTCCTGCAGGGCTATAAACTTCAGTTTAATTTATTAGAATGCATCTTTGAACAAAGCTTTATTTCTGTCAGGACTTCCTTATGAACACAGAACCTGAAAAGGTCATGTTCAGGGGTGGTATCTGAAAATCATGATTGGGCTCACTTCCATGGCTTGCCTTCTTTCTCTGGATGCAACCTGGCATAACCTTTGGAACAGAAGACTTTCTTGTTGTTGGGGTGCAATATAAGGCAACAGTCATTTTAAGTTGGAAGCATCAGCGACTATGACAGAAAGTTGCATGCCCAGGATTTGGGCTGCCTGAGAAGACCCCTCACTACCTTGTCTTGATTGCCAACTCTTGAGACTATTAACTCAGATAGCAGATATGTAGGTAGAGTGTACTGGTTTGTTGGTAGTCCCAACCTCTTAATCTTTCTTGAATGACCTTGTTCTGCAAAACACATTGGCAAGATATGTTATGGAACATATCAACAACTTTGTGTGTGTGTGTGTGTGTGTGTGTGTGTGTGTTTTCTTTTTCTCCCCAAGAATATGAAAGATGTTGTTCTGGGAACATCTAATGATCTTGTAATCCTGAACTATGGTCTAAAATAAAAGGTAAATATTCTCTTTTACTGATGGACAGGGTGATCCACAATGGGAAAGTTTTCGTTTGTTTTTTCTTTTTAGAAAACAATGAGAATTCTGCTTTCAGTGGGCACTATGGTAGGTATATTTCAGCATAGATAGAAAAGCTGATCATTTAAGCTGATCATTAAGCTGATTAAGATGATTATTCTTAAGCCCCAGTAGGTCAGATCATGTCAGTGTTTCCAGAGTATGCCCAGAATGCTAACAATTGGCCTTAAGTTGAGCCTTTGCTAAGAACCACCCAGCCCTGAAAAGGATTCATTTATTTATTTATTTTGGCCCTGGTAATGTCTAAATGATAAGTGCAAGTCCCTCTTAGCTATCTGGAGTGGGTCCCACATGAATTTGTTGTGACCCCTAGAATCTAGAAACTCCAGTAAGGTTGGATAAGATATTTAGTGGGGGAACTCCAAAGTAACACATGAAAATACAAGATATTAAATGTTCAGAAGTGTGTAATTTGCTGCATTTGTTCATGAGTGGTTTTAATACTTCTGGTACAGAGCCTAACTCTCTTTTTATTGGGGAGATGTGGTTTCAGTTTCTTGGGTGAATGTGCATTTTATAAGTTTCTTAAGAAAGGAAATTAAACATTAAAAGCCTTTAAATACTTTACTCTTTATATAATGTCACTAAGAAAAGCCAGGAAAATTAGGGTTGGCTTATTTATTTATTTATTTATTTAATAAATATAATCTATTTTCCACCATTTTGTTTGTTATGGCTGGTATCAAAGTAGTTTTAAAAGTTAACATTTATTTTGATTTCAGCAGATGTGCATAATAAATTAACCTATCTCTGTTCATTGTGGGCTGGGGCAGTATTTCACATCTAGTTTGTTTGGCATTTTGACACAGCTGATTTAGTTCAATTCAACATAGTTTGACACTCCCGCTTATATGACACTTAGCATATGAATAACATTAAATAGATCAAATGTGGCCTGCTGAGTAAGAGCATTCATGCAGGTTGGTGATGTGACTGACCTTAGCTAAGACCCTTAACCACCGTGAGTCTGGGTTTCCTTTTTGTAAAATGAGTAGTTGAGAGTAAATGGTGCTCTGGATTTAAAAACTCCGTGACTCCGTATGCCTAATAGATATGCATCTAACTGATTCCTTTCTCCCTTTTTCACTCTCTCCTTAATTTAGGAAAAGAAGATGCCGATGCCCCCGTCACAAAAGATGAGAGCACCTCCATGTCACAGGACACAAGAGTTTTATCAGAGAAGTCTCTGCAAAGATCAGCAAAGGTCATTGCATACAGATTTTCTGCACTTGTCCAAATGACTGTCACCTGAGCTACCTATCAAAGGTCTCTCATACGATTCAGTTAGGACTCTAGTTGGTCAGTTAATCCGAAAAGTCAGTGGAAGCAAGGAGTCATAAAAAGCTAATGTTTTTTATAACTTTAAGTATATATGTATGTGTTGATTTGTCTGTGTTTGGATGAAGGTCCAAAGTCTTTTCTTTGTGCGTGGGTTTGTTTATTGAGGTTTTATGTTATGTTTTTCTGCTTAAACCACACTTGTAATGTGACATCTTTGATTTCCAGTTTGGGTTATGTGAAGTGGAATGAGGATTTAGGCTCTAGTGAAGCAATATGAATGTAGACTCCTTCTAGATTCTCAGTTTTTTTGCTCCATATTTTTTAATGTTGTCATGTCCATATCTCATTCAAAAGCAAGTTTTTAGTGTCCTTTTTAGTTTTTCTCAAGTATTCAATTTAGTTATTATAGACACAAAAAGTTGCTTTTGTATCCTATCTTTGTTGCTTTGCATAATTCAATTTTAGTTTTCAATTATATATGCCAGTGGCATATTCAGATATGGGATCAACCACGGCTGCCCCTAACTGTGCAAACAGCTCATGGTGGAACAGGTGGTTCAGTGAGTGGTAGTAAAAGCATGAGGCTTTCTCCACCCGAGGCATCCTTCAGCACATTTAACCTGTGGTGGTAGTGTTGCCACTCAAGCTAGCAAATCGGTCAGGATGGTATTTCTTGCATATTGACCTGAGGACATTTCTAAATTATGTCACGTATATGTTACCCTCAACTGCCTGCCCGGCTATTTTAATAAGCATTTTGAACACTCACCGTGTAACAGGCAACATGCTAGGTATGTAAGATCATAATGAATTGAAAACCTGCGGGCTGGATCCAGCTTACAAACCTGTGTTTTGTTTGACCTGTGCAGTATTTAAAACTTTTGACTGAGTAGCTTACTGAAAAAATCAGACTTCTGGCTTCTCTTGACGACACAAAACATCCGGCAACACTGGGCCACATTCTTATGTCACTGTAGTCGGAGCTGAGTACAGGCAGGCCTCTGTAGATGGAACCTGTGTTCTGCAATTTGCTGCTGCCCCCCAATGGTACCCTCTCTCTTGCTGGGTTGGTTTGTTATGGGGGGATAGTTTCTCAGTGAATTCAATCTAAAATCACAAGGCAAAACAGCACTTGTATGCAAAACTTATGCTGTGGTCAAGTCATTTCTACTACAGCTGATGTATGAATCACAACTGATGTCAAACTGCTTCATACATTTCCCATGCTGTCAGATATTAAAACAAGAAGCAAGGACTTCTAGTTCAGACAAGACGGCATAGACTTGTTTTTCCTTGCTCTTTCCCACTAGTGTAACTATAAACCCTGGCAAATAATGAGAGGCAACCATAGATGAATTCTGAAAGGTGAAGAGAGGAAGGCAGGCTAGTTAGGGCCTCAAAGACTAGAGAACAACATGGCAGCAGAGAACTTTACAACCCCTCCACCAACAGAAGGACACTGGGCCCAGTGTTTCTGGATCTAACTTGGCAACAGAAGGTGGCCCAGGCAGACTCGCTCCTCACTCAGATCTAGCAGGAGTCCCTCCAGCAACACCAGGCGGTCCTGACAGTACCTTTAAGAGGGATTGAGTGGGAGCCTTGCTGACAATAAGTGGCCAGGACAAAGGCCCCCCTTCCCTGCCACACCTGAGACTTCTCTCCCAAGAAGACCAAGAGACACCGCACATTGGGTGGCTCTGGCATGGGGGTTCTGCCAAAGAAGTGGCCCAGCCCCGGAAGCCTCTTTGTCTCTTTGGGCCTGAGGTTTCCCTCCTCCCTGCCCCCCATCCCGGGGTAGCAGATGGCTGGAGAACCATTAAAGGAGATCCTGCCGCAGCAGGTGTGTGGTCCAGGAAACCTTTATCCTCATTTATCTCATGGGTCTGAGACGCCACTTTCCTACCCAGGGACACTGGGTGGTCAGGCGGCACTGGTAAAGGGGGTCCTACCACAACAAAAATCGTTAAGTGGGAAGTTTCTTTGTCTCTGCACGGACACAGATTGGGATTTGTTCTTAATCCATATTAGAGAGTCCAGGTGGCCAGCCCCGAGGAAGTTCTTTCCGTGCCCTCAGGCAATACCAGCAGAGACCTGCCGGAGCCCCACTGGTTCCATGCCAACGAAACATACCAAAATAGTACTGCAAAGGGACGCCTGGGTGGCTCAGTCGCTTAAGCATCTCACTCTTGATTTCAGCTCAGGTGATCATGGTCGTGGGATTGATCCCTGCGTCAGGCTCCGTGCTGGGCGTGGAGCCTGCTTAAGATACTCACTCCCTCTGACTCTGCATCTCTTTTTCTCTCAAAAAAAGAAAAAGGAGAAGAATAAAAAGAGAATTGCAGTCTCTGAAAATTAAATTATCATTGGAACTACAGCCCACAAGAGTAGTCCAGGCCCCATGTGCTACATCTAGACACAGTGGCCTGCCTTCTAAAAGATTTAAATAAGACCTTGAATCTCCTTTTATAATATCCAAAAGGTCCAGGATACAATAGAAAATCATTCATTATACCAAGAACTAGGACATTGTCACGTGCCTGAAGAGAGACAACTGATGCCAACAGTGAGATGTTACTGTTATCTGACAGTGATTTTAAATCAGTCAAAAAACAATTAGAAATTCTCTTGAAACAAATGCTTCAAACATTAGAAATTCTCTTGAAACAAATGAGAAAATAGAAAATCTCAGCAAAGAAGTAGAAGTTATAAAAAAAAAGAACCAAGTTGGAAATTATAAAACTAAAAGATACAGACAGAAATAAAATACTTTTAGGATGAACTCAGTAGGAGAGTAGAGGTGATTCAGCATAAAATGAGTTAACTTGGGAACAGATCAGTAAAATTTACCCAATCTGGATGGAAAGAAAATAGGCTGAAACAAATGAACAGAGCTTCAGGAAGTTGTGGGGCAATACAATAGTTTCAGCGTTCAAATAATTGGAGTCCTAGAAGGAGAGGATCACCAAGAGAGTGGGGCTTGTAGATTGTGCTGACAGGGAACAGGTAAAAAATACTAGAGATTTTGAGATTAGAGCAACAATTGTATAACCTGAGTGTGTAATGGTATCCATCTGTGTCATTGTAATTCTGTCTTGACGGACTCGGTAGCTTGTGTTGAAGTAGAGAAGAGCAGTGGCTGAACTGTCTCAGAATTGAGGATTTCTTAGGGTGGGTGCAGTGGAAAGGGCAAGAGGGGTGAGGCATCTCACGACGGTGAGGAGGACCAGAAGTGACAGAACGTGGTGTGTCCCTCAGAGGTAGGAAGGGATTCAGGCCTAAGAAGTAGCAAACAGACACAGACAACAGGCTAGGGTTAAGGCGCTAGTGGTCTTGATGTGGTGAAGAAGTCATGGAGGGGCACAGAAGAATAAGGGAACCGGATGCAGGTCAGTCTGAGACCGTCAGGACTGGATCAGTCCCAGAGGATGCTGAGGCCATGAGGATGAGTTGCTAAAATCAAATGGAAGGGAAGGCCACCAGCATTGAAGAAATACGGGGGCTGTAAGGACAAGGTAGATCTTGGCTGAGTCATTCACCTGGAAATGTAGGCCAGGTGTTGCAGAGTGACTAGGAGGTCCATGGATGACAGTAACAAGAAGGGGACAGCCTGAACCATCAAAGGATGCAGGTGTATGCACGAGGCAAGAAAAGTAAATGGTCTGGGTGTGACTGTGCAGCACAGGAAAACAAAGATGCCTCATTGAGGGACTGTGTGTGGAGAAGGAGCAACCTTTGTCCAAAGGGCCTGGGACAGACAGAGTCCTTGTGACAGAGAAGCACACGCGAGGACCAGGTCAAGGACTCTTGACAGGGGCACAAGAGCTTGTTCAAAACAGAATGGTGTTTTCCAAGGGGGAAGGAAGAGTCAGGAGAATGTAGAGCCTATTGTGGGACTGAGACTGGACGAGAGGACAGGTGCCTTGTGGGGCGGCAGCCAGGTGTGCCTGGGGCAGAGGAGAGGCACACTGACTGGCTGGAGGTTCTCCCTGGACAGGCTGAATGCCCTTACGGAGTCTGAGACATGAACAAGGGCAGCAGCCGGCTCAACAGCTGTCCGAACCTGTGCTCCGGGGTCAAAGTGGAACGCTGGCGAATACTTCCGTGAATGGGGTCAAAGCGCGGAATGTCCGTGGGGGGTGGAGGGAACGCTTCAGGAAGAAGAACGTCCCAGGGTGGGTGAGGGTGAGGGGATTTGCTTTCTTCAAGAATGCTTCTCTCTTGGTGGAAATAGTCTGTCCTTGTAGTGATGTGGTAGCCTGAGTCTTTGCCTGGTGAAATGAGAGAGTGGGTTTAATGTTGGAAAGAAGGAAGGTTTAAAGGTTTTCAGCTTCAAAAGGCATACTAAAGACCAGTTCCTTGTTTATATTCAGTAACATTTTTAAAAAGCAACTGCTGGGGCGCCTGGGTGGCGCAGTCGGTTAAGCGTCCGACTTCAGCCAGGTCACGATCTCGCGGTCCGTGAGTTCGAGCCCCACGTCAGGCTCTGGGCTGATGGCTCAGAGCCTGGAGCCTGTTTCCGATTCTGTGTCTCCCTCTCTCTCTGCCCCTCCCCCGTTCATGCTCTGTCTCTCTCTGTCCCAAAAATAAATAAAACGTTGAAAAAAAAATTAAAAAAAAAATAAAAAGTAACTGCTGTGTTCACGTGGGGAAAATGTAATGCAGAGCAGATACTTGAAGCCATACTTCCCTTCTGGAGTCTTCCGAATGTCCTTGAGACGTAGGTGTCAGTTATAAAAACACTTCCATCTAATTCATCCTTGTGTTGCACAGTTTTCATTGGATAAATATGCTCACTGGACCCTTAAGTTGTTGCAGCTTAAACCTGGATTACTTAAGTCACGGAGCCTCAGCAAGCAGCACTTCATTTGGACCTAGAAAAACTGCAGGCCCAGCTAGTTGACCAAATAATATCCTGCTGACTTCTCCCAGCTGTTATCCAGTGCTGTAGATAAACAACATTTGACTCTATCTTTGGTGTTTTCAGGTGGTTTACATCTTGGACAAAAAACATTCCCGAGCAGCAACGGGCTTTCTCAAACTCTTGGCTGATAAGAACAGTGAACTGTTTAGGAAATATGCCCTGTTTTCTCCCTCGGACCACCGAGTGCCTAGAATTTATGTGCCTCTCAAGGATTGTCCCCAGGACTTTGTGACCCGGCCTAAAGATTATGCCAACACACTGTTCATCTGCCGCATCGTGGACTGGAAGGAGGACAGCAATTTTGCCCTGGGGTAGGTGACCTTTGGCAAGAAAAACCACAGATCCCAGATGGAAGTCGGTTTAGGTAGCCTTTTGGTAAACTTTTTTTGTGTATTTTAATTATTATTTCTTGATTAAAACATGGCTACTTGACATATTTGGGTCCGAGTTTTTCAGAAATTGCTCTTAGCTACCCCCTTGACCGGTCACCTGTAGGTTCCTTGAATTGCCAGGCAGTCACTTTATTTTTGGTTTGGGGCATAAAATATAAGCACATTCTGAGCTTCTCCTTGTTTCCTATTATGTCATGAATCCTGTTTGTACCTGTGAACTCCAAAGAATTTATTGCATCAAGCAACCAGACTCCTCCTTTTAGACGCTAGTGTTAAAATATGCAAAATTCCAGGCATTTCAGAGGCCCCCAGTCTTCCATGCTTTAAATTATAAACATGAAGGTGTATTTTAATGATGTGCTTTTTGGTATTGATCCTAAGGAGGTTTTACTTAGGGCATTAAGAACTAAATTACCTGACCGTAAGTAGGAAAGGGTACCCTATTTTCATGGAAGCTGTCAGGAGCCAATCTAACTTAAATGTAGATTATGTAGTCAGAGATCATCATGGGTAGCCAATTGAACAGTTCTGATCTGAAGAAACTGCTGGACCCAGCTGTTTGATCAAATGCAGTACCTGTTTTCTTACAACTGTATTCATTTTGAAAGAAAAACAATGATAAATTTTAGCTATATTTTTATCCCTTTATTATGGATGGAGCCTGGTTTATGCTTCACACAAAATAAAAATAAAGGTGTACAAGCTAGAAAAGTTTGTTCTCACACTTACTTTTAAGCCAGTTTGGTGACTTGCTTGTTAGTCATCTGACTTGTACGGGACTGGCCCTTCTGGGAGTGTCCTGTGGTTATGAGGGCCAACACTGAAGGCATGGCCACAATGTACCACTTTCATTGGATCTGTTCTATCCTTAGCCTCTTATGCCTAGCAAAGGAAGCCAAATCAAATCCGTGTGTCACACCCCATGCCATTTAAGAGATACTGTCCTGTGCCACTTTTTCAGTGATATAATATGATCTCAGGGCCACTCAGAAACAATTGTACTTTCTTTTCTTTGCTTTTCTTCCTCTTAAGTGGAGTGATCGCAATATCATTTTTATGCCTAACTCATTATCCAGAAGTGACGTCAACCCCTTGAGTCCTAACTAGCCCTTCTCTGAGGCTTGCCAGTTTCTCACCATCAACTCCAAATGGCCTGATAATGTCTGCGCCACCTGGCCCCTGTTGATTGTGCCGGCTGCACTCTGCCTGGCAGCGAAAAGGGAAGACTTCCCATCACAGCAGGAAATCCAGCCTTGTCTTTTATCTGCCTTTCTGTCATATCCCATTGTGTATACTTGATTGGACTACTTCCTTAGTTATCGAGTTGTATGGGTGTAGTCAAGAAATCTTTATGATGTGAGTTTCTCTTATTGCTGGAATGGTCTTACAGGTTCCTTTTTCACAGCTGAGCCATTACTTCATCAAGAACTCTTGTGGGTAAATTACAATTGAAAAAGGAGTCAAGCCTTTGAAGCAGCAAGAATATTTGCTGAATGTAAAGAAAGACCATTTTAAAATAATAGCCATATATTAATCATGTACTTCTCAAAATAAAAATATACTTAGATGGAACACTTAGTATAAAGACGTTAGAATTTGCCATTTTGTAAATATGCCTTTTAAGATCTTTGTGAAGAAGAGAGAACTTATCTTAAGAAAGCAAGAAAATGTGGTAGGTTTTCATGATATAGTCCTCAGATGCCGTGTCTCTCCTGAGGGGTGCGGGCCGCAGCTGTTGGGCCTGGTGGGGGTCCCACCTTTGCCATTTCGCTCTGGCTGTCACTACTGATCTTTAGGAACTAAGGTCAAGGCTTCCCAATCAGAACATGCTGTGCTAGGACTGCCTGGGTTTCCTCTCTCATCTTTGCCAGGTTTTGACCAGGAGTGTGAAGGTAGTACTTGCCATGGATGTGAGTGTTTGTGGTTAACTTCCCCAGAAACTATGCCTGAAAACTGAGCTTAGCCAAAGTGGCTTCCCTCTGAATTTCTTCCCTGCCCCTGCACTCTGCTCGTAAAAGTTTTGAACTTCTTCTGTCTGTGTAATTGCTACCCATTATTTAAGTCCAAAGTCATTTACTTCTTCTGCAGTTAAATTCAGTTCAGGAGACAGGTGTTGATCAACTGTGTGTAAGTCACTGTGTGAGAAATACAACGGTAAACAGGGTATGGTTTTTTTTATTCAAAGAAACAATAGCCTAACGCAGAGGGACTGTACATAAGTGTCATAGGATTAATTTGACTCTAAGAAATGGAATCCTCCTTGAGCTAATTTAAATAAAAGTGGAAATTAGTATGAGAAACTGGTGGTTCTCCTAAAACCAAGGGCAGGAAATGGAGGCAGGCCTCATGAGGATCTCAGAACTCACAAGGTGGCAGAGGAATCACAGCTGCTCTCTCAACGACCCTGACAAGTCCCACCACCACATGGCATCTTTTCTGTACCCCTGTCTGCATGTGAGCTGGATTGTTCTGCCTCTCTCTACACAGCAGCCGGCTACCTGTCAGTAGCCTACACAGCCCCCAGTGGTACTGCCAGTCCTCTGCAGGTCACATACTGAAGTCTAGGTCACGATACAGAATTTCTAGGGTAGAAAAATCTTATCGGTCTAGCCTGAGACAGGTATTTGCCCTGATCAGTAGTTTTAACCAGAGGTAGTGGTCCAAGGTCCCATGGCCCACCGCCCAATTGGTAGGGACTGTGTGGGACTTGAGTCTCTGGGAACAAGTGTGGATAAAGCAAACAGATTGAATGGCCTGTCTCTTTGACCTCTAATTATCGTATGAAGTCGAATATAGGAATAAAGTCGTTTTCGGGAAGTTTAGAGGAGGTGGGTGAAGGGAGAAATCTAGGATTGTTCCTGAGAGAACGGAAGCCCCTTTGCTGGAAGATCACTCTGCCTGAGAGTCTGGAGTAGACAGGAGGGGACATGACTGAAGGCAAGCAGTCCTCACAATCTATCATATTAACAGAGAGGAGACGGGGAGAACCTGGAGTAAATGGGTTGCAGTGAAGGAAGCAAAAAGAGTGACAAGATTCAGGGGAGATAAGGGAGGTGAAATCCCCTAGATGTGCTCACCAATTAGAAATGGGGCATGAATGAGAAGGACAGAACTGTGGATGAACTTGCAGACCTCTGACTTGAGTGTCGTTGGGGAGATGACAATGGTGTTGAACCACAGTGTACTGCGGGCAGGTTCAGCTCCTACCATGCCCTTCTCTTATGCCTCATTGCTTGCTGTTTCCCAGGCTGGCTGTGTGTGTTCGTAGCTCCAGACTCTTACACACCACACTTCCTTTCCCAGCAGTGGCTTTCTCCTCTCCCTGCTATTTGTTTAGTGAAATACTCCACTTTTAAACTTAACTCCATTGTCTACTTGAAAAATGTTCCCTGATTCCTCCCTCCTGGGTGCTCCCATAGTCTGTAAAACTACTGTTATTATCACTCTGGCCTGTTTGTATTGTAATTGCTTATGAAAGTTATTTACTTGGCCATGAGTTCCTTTAGGACAAGGATACTCAGTGAACATTTGCTGGCTGGTTCAATGGCCTTAAGGAGGCCATCAATCTTGGTGCCCCCTTCCGGGTAAGCATTGCTTCTCTGGCACCCCTCGTGCCACTTTGGTGCCTCCTGTGATGGACAGCCCAAAGACTATTACGGTACTGGAGACCTTTGGGTGTTAGAAAGTTATTTTTCATCTTGTTCCCAGAACTGTCACGAGATATCTCAGTTCAGCCTTGTTTACTTCTGTACAACACACCTGTCACATTTTCTGTACTCTTCATCCTATAATGCTAGCAAAAACCTGAAGGTAATCGTTCTTAGTGAACCCTTGCTGGCTTTGAGGGATCACTGCTTTTTGTTATGCATCACAACATATTTAATACTTTTCCTATTTAGTACTAGGCTTTTGTCCAAGATACTTAAAAAGCCACAGTGGCTTCCTCGCTGGAATGATCTGTAATTATGTAATCAGATTTACAGTTTTAAGAGCTTCCCAACCCTCTTAAATCATCTTTCCCTTTAGAAAGTCCTGCAGTGGAATTCATGCCTATATTTTCTCAGACCTTTGTGAAATCTCCTGTCCTAAAGTCTAGAGTTTATAATCACAGCCTTCCCTTCCAGGATGTCATAGCATGGAGATACTGTGGTCACTCTCTTCTAGATTTGTTATGGTTCTTCTTCTTGAATATTTAAGGGTAAATCTTGAAGAAAATGGAAAAGTTGTAGAGCAGCTACTGTGAGGAACGTGGTAGTGTTTCGTGGCAGCACTTTAGACTAAATGAAGATATATAACTTGAACTGACCTAGAGCAAACAGACATGTTTATGTTATTTGCTCTAGCAAACTTTGGTAGCTTTAAGGGAGGAGAAAAAATAAATAGGTCAGTGCAGGTATAGCAGGCTTGAGAGATTTAGGGTTGAACTTGGGATTGTCTAGGTTTAATGGGAGGCTATTGAAATAGAGGAATTGAGAAGGAGTCACGGTGCTGTTCATTTTAATGAGAGTGAAGGACAGCAGCTTCCATTGGAGAGAGTGGCTGGGTGAGATGAAGGGAGGGAAAGGGAAGTTCTGATTGATGACACATGTGGAAGAGGAGGAAGTGGTTGGTCGGGGGACGGGTGATCTGTTCTGGTATCTTCATCTCCCAGCTTTGACCAGTAAAGTGCCAGTTACCAATTAGAAATATATATTTGTGGACTGTTGGAAACAAATATCCTTTAACATTCCATTCAGTTTGACAGATACTGAATTTCTTATAAGGTAGATCTAAATTAGGGGGATGGTCGTTAAATTATACTAAATTGTATTTAGTAGGAGAGTGAGATAGTAACTAGGTTGGTAGAAAAAAAACAGGAGAAATTAGTTTCATTGAGGCATAGCCTACAAGAGTAGCAAATTGAAAAATAGCTCCGTCTA